CTGCACCATTCCTTTTGGAGTATAGTTGGTACGAGGCACTGTTGTTGAAGGGGAACTTGAGGAAGAATCCCATATATTCTTTTGGTCATTGCCATACTGTCGGGCTGACCATTTGTATTCACTGATCTTGCAGAAGTACCTTTAGCTGAGCATACCTTGGATAGTATACAACTAGCCACCCACGAACGACCACGTTATCAGTCATTGGTATTTGTCTGAATCGCTGACCGTGGAGATATTTGTTTTATAGGTGTTTATCTATAGATCATCTATCTAAGAAGACAACGAGGACGAAGACAATGTGCCACTTACCCACTGGGCTCTAGCAGCGGCAGAGCCCAAACTGACGCTCCAGCAAGCCTTGAACGGTCCAGATGCGGTGGAATGGCAAGAGGCGATAGACTATGAACTTAGTCAGCTTGAGAAGTTAGCAGCCTGGGAAGTGGTAAACGTACCACGTCATGCTAACGTCATACCCTGTCATTATGTCTTGGCCACCAAACGCGGCCCGGACGGTGAGAAGATCAAACTGCATGCCAGACTCGTGGCCAACGGCCAATGGCAGAAGCACAGCCTCGATTACTCGGAGACCTTTGCTCCAACCACCAACATGGCCACGATACGTACCGTTCTCGCAATGGCCGCCCAAAAGGACTGGGAAGTCCACCAAGTCAATATCAAGAGTGCGTATTTGCACGCGGAGATCAAGGAGGACATTTACATGAGAGCGCCTCCCGGATACCTGAAGGACGGGGAGGAAGGAAAAGTGCTGAAGTTGAAGAGATGTCTGTATGGGTTGAAGCAAGTGGGATTCGAGTGGTCGGAGGAACTGGCAAGTGTATTCCTGGAGTTGGGCTTCACACGTTCGCAGATTGACCAAGCCGTATACTATGTACACGACACTGACAAGCACATGGTCATGACTGTGTCGGTCGACGACATGGCCGTCACATCGAAGCATCTATGACACATCACCGAGTTCAAGGAACGCCTCCGTCAGTACTTTGAAATCACTGACTTGGGCGAACTTGGCTGGTTATTAGGTCTACGGGTAGAACGGAACCGAGCTGAATGCACCATCACCCTTTCTCAACACGCCTATGTCAGTACCATCCTTGAACGTTTCCATCTCACCGACTCGAAGAGCGCAGTGATCCCAATGGATGCAAGCTGCACATTGTCGGTGGAGCAGTCTCCCGATACTCATGCCGCACTCGCTGACATGCAGGATGTGCCATACCAGCGTGGCGTAGGCTCCCTCATGTATGCTGCAACGAGCACAAGGCCCGACATAGCATTCTCTGTGGCCACGCTATCCCAGTTCATGCGCAACCCCGGAAGGGTGCACTGGGAAGCGGCCAAGCGCACTATGCACTACCTAAAAGGTACAGCGGACCATGGGTTAACATTGGGTGGAACAGATGGAGGACTTGAAGCTTACGTCGACGCAGATTGGGCCTCCCAGCCCCATCGTCACTCGATGTCTGGGTATGTGATCATGCTAAACGGGGGCCCCGTTGCATGGAGCTCGAGGAAGCAACCAATCATAGCATTGTCCACCACGGAAGCCGAGTATATAGCCTTGACGGCTGCTGCGCGGGAGATACTCTACTTACAGCTTCTCCTCAAAGAACTCTACGACGAAGACCATAGCTCTACCCCCATCCATTGCGATAATCAGTCCGCGATTGCATTAGCGTCAAACAGCAAGTTCCACGCGCATACGAAGCATATTGACATACATTTTTATTTTGTTCGTGCGCATGTCAAAAACGGAACTTTCGAACTACACTACTGTCCTACCGATGACAATGTAGCCGACACGTTCACCAAGCCGTTGCCACGACCTCGCTTCCAAAAGCTCAGGACCATGATGTCACTCGGTCCCGCTCGAGGGGGAGTGTTGGACTCGGTGGTTTCGGGAATGTCAGATCATGACGCATGATACGAGCGCGACCGTTTGACAGAGGCACGAGAGAAGTGACGTCGAGTGTCACTCGACGTCCAGATACCAATGTTTCACTTTATCATTCTCCTTACAATGCTAATATATGTATCGCAATGTGTTTCCCTTATAGTCTTCACCCATAGCGAACGAGCATCTCAGTCCCCCAAACAGAGACTGAGATGTGAGTTGTTACATTTGAACTTACTTTAGAACATGCACTGATTCAAACGAGTAGATTGTCTATATCTACTTAGGTACTGTACTTGGACTATGAGTCCCCCAAACAGAGACTGAGATATTGTCTATATCTACTTAGCTCCTGTCCGACCCGCTCGCATCAAAAACTCTAGAGGGGGGTCCAGATCAACTGCCCTACAAGTAAAGATGCTATGGCTTATATACTGAAGGGTAAGAAGATCAGGAACTAAAAGGAGAGTGAAACTAAATGAGTAACTAGAGAAAATGATAAGACTAATATTTGGTTGCCATTGTCGACGTGTCGACAACGGCCTTTGACGAGCGTTACATATGCCCTCCAGGTCCTCTGAACGAGAGGACCTTTCTTCAGGTGATGCGAGTTCCTTAGGTTCGCAGGGAAGATCCCAAAGAGGCAAACGCGGCTATGAGAAGGATAAGGATGAGCACATTGACTAACAATGAGCAAACAGGAATGATTCTACCGAGGACATCTTTGGTGGTGACCCCAGGCATGTGACTTGCCTGCTCGAGGTCGAGCTGCTCAGCAGCAGCGATTATGTCCTCGACGTCGCATCCCGGGTCGACTGCAGGGGGCGAGGGAGCAGGAGTTGGGGCGAGAATAACGGATGCGTTGCTGGTCACATCAGCAATTAGCTGAGCAGCAGGGGTGAGGGCAGGGTGGTTGCTTGGTACGGAGCTAGCGCGCGATGAGCGGTGACGAGGTGGAGACTGCGCATGACGCAAGTGATGCGGGGGTTCCTCGGGAGGCGCGCGAACACGAGGAGCATGACGGTGGTCCAACGAGAGGTTACGAGTACGAGGGTAGTACCTCTCATAGGCGCGTTGGGCGCGCTCGGCGCGCACAAGTTCATCAAAGGCGTGTGACTCTTTTCTAGTGGCCAATTCCTTGGCCTGTGCCTCGGCACAGAAGAAACGCGTTGTAGAAACAACAACACAGAGAGGAACAAATGATGCTCCTGACTGTGTCTAAAAAGTTGTAGGTTGTGCATTGCCTAGCCTGCGTTACTTGAGGAGACAAGTGCGTTTGACCCTAAAGGGGAAGCGAGTGCAGCGAAGGTCTAGTGGTTGGCGCTGAAGGTGCTACTGGCTGGCCAATGCGAAGCGCGAGAAAGCGCAGGCGCGCGCCAGGCGAGAAGGCGCAGGAATGCGCGCGCGTACTGCGCGAAGCGCGGGAAAGCGCGTGTGTGTTTGCAGAAACAGGTAAGAGTAAGAGTAAGTTTTGCTTAAGTGGAGTTTAGATACTAGATAATAGGCGAGAGATGCGAGGTGCCAAAGAATAGATTTCTACTATGTTCTCTAGGTAGTAGGTAAAAGGTGGTAAAGTCCAGTGGGAAGTCAGGAAGGGTAAAAGTTTTTCTAATAGTATGTAATGCTGGTGCTTAAGTAGGGCGCCTAAGCGCTGTCATGCAGAGCCGAAGCACTACCGAGTAGGTATGTAAAGATATATGTAAGTAAGTTCTCATGATAATAATAAAGGTGGAACGATATGCAAATAAGGAAATGGAAATATACGCACTAGGGAGCTTGGTGGACAGTGGATGGATGCTTCTGGATGGCTGGCGCTATAGGGCGCTCAAGCGTGGGAAAGTGCGCGCGCATATATACATCGCGAAGCGCGGGAATGGTGTGCGCATGGCGCGCGTTGCGCGGGAAAGCTGCGCCTCATATAGGGATAGCTGCGGGTAGCACACAGAGTGACGCTGCAAGTCGTGCTGTGTACTCCCTAGTGAAATCTGCCATATCAGACCATGAGACGCATGAGTCTCTACATCTCCCAGGGACTTTAAATTCTGAGTGTCCCCACTCAGCGCGTGTGTGGTGAGGATCATGCGTGATAGTATGTGAGTGCGATGCATGTACAATGCTTGGGTTGTTGGGCGGTGAATGCGCGAGTGCAGGAATGTATCACTTGGTATGTATGAAGCGCGGGAAAGCGCAGGCGAGCGCGAGGCGCGAAGGTGCGTGAAAGTGCGCGCGCATATGTGCTTGAGGCGTGGGAATGCAGCATAGTGTGGTGAATTGCAAAGGTGGCTCTGGTGTGGATAATGCGCCATAAGCGTGAGGCGATGATGCAGGAATGATATGGATGTGGCGCGTGAAGTGTGGGCGAGATGCGCATGTATGGCGTGAAGCGCGGGAAAGCGCGCGCGCACAAGGCGCGAGAACGCGCATGAGTGTCACATGTATTGTATGCTGTGGGGACAGCATGAGCTGTTGCGCGATGATCTTGGAGTCCAATATGCGTGCGTGGGTGTGATGTGAAGTGGCATGGTCCAAGAGCGATCCAATCCATGTCCAAACCAAGTCCTGCTAAGCGCGCTAAATATTAGGTGCTAAGGGTTTGAACAGCATGAGTAAAACTATATGTGAAAATGCGAAAAGAAAAGGGTAAACTTTTTGCGGATGTCCCATCCGACTTGTCTTCTTCATGCAGCTGTCAACATCTACACCTTCCTATGAGCAAGGCATGGGAAGCGCACACGTGCACGCGCGCGAGGCGTATGGGCGTGTGAGCGTGGGAATACTGCGCGCATATGTGCGCATTCTAAGGTAAAAAGGAGCATGGTGCCGCGTCATGCGTGTGAAGAGAAAATATACTATTGAGCTAGGCGGGCACGATCTAAGGCTGTTTTGTTGTTTTTGGCGACTCCTATGTGCATATATATCAGTAAGTTATTAGTTCTTTGGATGGTGTTATAATGAGAGAAAATAAAAATGAAAGAGCGCTGGACGAAACCCAGGGTAAAACAAACGATATCCTATGAAACAGCATTGGTATATGTTTTTCTTGATGCGCTGCTGAAGCGCTTGATCCTCCTCCTTGAGCGTGTGACTAGCGCGCTTCGCGTCTCTTGCGAGCCGACACTTTACCCAAGGTAGGGTTGGAATGCGCGAGGCTGGCGCGCTTGGGGGGGCTTGTAACTGGCAGAATGAATTCCTGCACAACGCGTTGCAGGTTAGAGGCGCGCCAATGGGAGGCGCTGTAAGGGGTGTAGAGGCGCCCTACAAGCTGATAGGATGCGCGCGATGTGCGCACCTTGGGGCGATTTCGCGCGAATTTGATTATATTGGCCGAACACGCGAGGAACGGCCATTTCCCTGCAAATGTGTTAGCGAGAGATGTATATAGCGTGGAATTAGGCGCAAATGTTGCGCGAATGGGCTGTAAGGGTGGTATATCAAGGCGCAATAGGCGCATAGGTGAAAGAGAATAGTGCACATCAGGGTGTGCAGGAACGAAATCAACATGGTAAGCAAAAACACGAAGGATGTGAATAAATGCAGAAAGTGCGAAGTTAAAGATGATGATAGGGGAGTTAGGCGCATATGTTTGTGTCAGGCGCGCGCCTAAGTCGCGCCTGGATGGCTGATTGGAATATACTTTGTGTTGAATGACAGAAATGTGATTTAAAAGGGGAGAAACGATAGAAATGGGATAGCGTGAAAACTCTGCTAAAATTATGAATGCGCGAGGTGCGGGAATTATTGCGCGATGCGCGCGATCATGGCGCGTGAATGAGGGGTGGTGCGAAGATGAAATTAAAGTGTTTGGAAGCGTCATATAGCTCCTTAAGAGCTTCAAACATGAAAAAGACAAAAAGCGCGAAATGAGATGAGGATAAATATACAATGCCTCTAGGCGCGCGCATTGCGCGTCCTCAGGCGCAATATGGTGCGCCTGAGTCACCCCAGGGTCGCCTGAGACAAGCTCTACTTGGTGGTTAGGCGGCGTGATGCATGGATGCTTTGCTGGCAAGCGATAGTCACTAGAAGCAAAAAGTGCAACATGCGCGTGATCGTTAGTGACAATTGGAATTACCAGAGGCAAACTCTGGTCAGTGTGAGGTGTAACTTGAGCCTCTGATGTGGTAGAAGGCTCCTCTATAGGCGTGCTAAGGCGCAATAGATTTTTAGGGTCATCCCTGACCTCTGATGATGCAGGCGGCGATAGCTGTGATGGTGATGGTGCGATTGGCGAGATTTCTTCCTTAAGCGATGCGATAGCGATAGGCGAGCATGTTTCGAGCGATGGCGTAATATCTTCTACAATGGGCGCATCATTGTGCAATAGATTTTTAGAGTCATCCCTGACTTGCGATCCGATGGCGATAGGCGAGCGTATTTCTAGCGGTGCGTTCATGTGCAATAGATGTTTAGAGTCATCCCTGACTTGGGATGTGCTTGATGGTGTTGGTGATGATGCGGATTGTGAAGGAGATGGTGCTAATGGTGAAGGTGAAGAGGTGCCTGCGGTG